CGCCGAAACCAGTTCGTCACCAAACCACCTTTGAGAAAGGATGAAAAGAATTTGAGCATTTTGGCCATATGCCAAACTTTGAATGTACAAGATAATCGTTACTCAAGGTATTTAAGTCTGCGATACATGATACGTGGACAGTCACATAGAATATGATCTGGGGTTTCCTCTACGAACCCAAAAAACATGCAGGCCGTCTCTACAGAAGGCTCCCAATTTACTCAAATGATACCTTAGCTTGCAGCGTGCTGTCAGGAAGGAGTTATTAATCTCTTTAATTATCTCATTTATTTTGACCTCCACCAGTGGCGCGGGACAATGCAGGTGCGCATTTAGGCTCCAAGTTTTGCGAGGCAGTCCGCCATTTCGCTGCCTTTATTTGCCGTGACCCAACACAGCGCCACTTTATTGTGAGCTCCCAAGTAGTTGAAAAGAGTTTTACAGTTTCCCACAAGCCATAATGCCTTTCCAAATAAGACTAAGGCCTTAAGTCTTGCCTAACTGTCCGGCGTAACTGATTGAGGAGATCTAAGCGTTCCACACTCGATATCCCTGCCAGACTGGTGATGTAGCGTGATGTCAAGTGTATGAGTCGCCTCGGTTCGTACATCGACACATAAAGTGTCGATCGATTCCTCCTCATTCTCATCGTGTCAGCTTTTGCTAAGAGAGCTCATTAGTATTTCTTATCGTTAAAGTATCAGTACAATAGAACAGTGACCTGTGGCCCGTCGGAAAGGACTCCGAAGTGGTGTTATTCGTACCGCGAAAACAACGGCTTTAACTTCGTTGTCACTTGAAATTACCTCAAGGTCAAATGTAGCCTAAATTTCGTAAGAAGAATGTACTACGCTTACAGGCTAAAAAAACACCCTATTTTACCACTCGTATTCGAAAATATGCATACATAAAATCTTCTACTGACCCGATATTTTTGTTTTTGAACACGAAGACGATTGCCAATACCAATACCAAAACAAATACGAAGAGCAACCGCATTCGAATTCGAAGACGAATGCGACGACTAAGACTAGCACGACTACAAAGACAGATACGAACAGGAATAGCAAGGCAAATATGAAGACGAACAGGAACGATGAGTAAGAAAAAGGTTACGAACACGAATGCGAGTGGAAAGACGAAAAGGAAGAATATAGGGAGATCAATACGAATACGAAGACGAATATTGACATGAAGAAATTGCGGAGAACGTTTATAAACACAAATACGATCGCGAATACGAGCACGAATATGAAGATGAAGATGAGTACAAAGACGAATACGAATACGAGGTTGGATACGAATACGTAGACAAACCAAAGAAATTTTTGAATACGACGACGAAAGATGAAAGATGAACACGAAAACAAAGACAAATACTAGCACGTATATCAAAGTGAGTTTACTATAGATAATATTTATTTTTCCAAAAGTACGGTAAGACATTAAGTCGAAGACGAAGACAAATACGAAGAAAAAGACGAATACGAAGATGATTGCGAAGACGAATACAAAGACAGCAATGAAAAGAATGCGACGAAGAATACGAAGAGGAATAGGAAGCCTAATACGAAACGAATGCGAAGACAGCGACTAACAAGAAGACCAAAAATCTTCGGAAGTCTTTAAAAAAAAAACAGCAAAAAAACGACCGAATTTCGATAGCAACTGGCACTGCTTGTGCACTTAAAAGCCCAAAAAACAAGAAAAAGCGAAATCGAAAAAAATCCAAAAACAAAAATTTGCCAGGCGTCGCCCGCCTCCTTCAACCATCCCTCGGACCCGATGATGCGCATCTGCAATTCCGTCATTCAATAAATGACAGCGAAAAATTGCCTTCCACTTGAACGACTAAAATGTATTGACGGTAATATGCAATGGATTGCAACTCAATGAATTACAGTTATTGTAGTAGACAGTGTTTCTTTGCAAAAATGGTGGCACATACAAATAAAAAATGAACAACATGCATACATATGTATGTACGTACCAAACGTTGTAGTAAAGCTGTTGGCGAGTTCGATGTTTAACTGTTGTCCGGCATGCAGCTTGCAGCAAAATATCGCAACAATAACAACTACATTAGGGTGGTGCTTAAAAATATCAACAACGAAATTTTGGACGCCCAATTTATTTTCTTCTACGTACAAAAAATACATCTACGGATATTTCAAAACTTCAAACTAAGTTCTAGGAGCCGCTACCAGGGTTCGAAAAATTTAAATTTTTTTAAATCGCAAAAATACGACAAAATTTGTAATTGGAATCTCATAAATTTGACATATTATTGAAACTTATTTATATGAGTTCATAAACGTGTTGAGTTATAGTTGGTCAAAATAGAATTTTTGTGATAAAAAAAATGTAATTTTTGAAATTTTCGCGGAAATCGTTTTTTTTCTTCTTTGTACGTAGAACATGAAGTTGATATATTTTAATGACCACCCTAAAGTGCATACGTACAAAATATCGCAAGAATAATAACAACTACATACATATGTATGTACATGCGACCACTGGCAGAAAAATAAGGCAACATTTCACCGCTATTGTTTTTATTTTCATTACAATTCGTTTGTTGTAATTGCTTTGGTAGCTCTTATGTATATGTTTATTGTTGTTGCTGCTATGGCTGTTGATGCTGTTGCTGTTGCTGTTGCTGTTGCTGTTGATGTTGTCTTTGTACGAGTATCTCTTTAAGGAGGCGGTAAACCTCTTTGATCTTATCGCGCAGAGCTTCTTGCTCGCAT